CCTCGCCGAATCCCCATCGTCTCCCCTTCTCCATCTCCGATTTCAGATTCCTTGATCGCCGCAAAATGTTTCTCAACCTCGCCGCCGGGATCTCCTATCTTTCTCAGATTTCAGGAGAAAGGAATCAAACTTTTAGCCGGCGCCGGGAAGATCGTCGGCGAGGACCATTAAATCTATCGTCACCAGCTTCAGACCGGCTCTTCTTTTAGTTTTGAGCCGTCTGGTGTTGTTCCCCATCCTCCGTGGCGATATTAGTTGGAATTAATTTCTCAATCGAGTATGTGATGGAGTAACAATGGAGGACCATGACCAGAATGTCACTGGAATTTGTGGTACGTGCTTAACCTAATTGTATAAGTAATTGATTTTTAACTGTTAATTTCCATTTCTGAATCAGTGATTTGAATCTATCCTTTGGAATCTTGCAGCTTCTGGCCTGGCTTCTTCACCTTATATCCTCCAGTCTATGTTCTTGATCTTCATTATCAGAAATATGTTAATTGTGCTACAATACAACATTTAAAAGTTGTAAGTCTCAAATTATACCAGCAAATAAAATTAGTTACATTGCTAATTACTTTCTTTTCTCCTGGATCTGTGCTTTAACACTATGTTTCCAGGCTGGGTGTTTTGTCTTTTTTGAACTTATGTAGAAACACCTAGACCTTCACTAGTATTAGGAGTGCATTGAACCCTTCTCATCATGTAGATTGTAATATATCTACATGAAAATATTTAAATCTATTCATTAATTCATAAAAAACAGAATAGAGAGAGGAGTATACTGATATGTTGTTTCTTATCTATTCAAGAGTTACTTTAAGTATATGGGTCTTAGTATGTATAGTCACACGGTCCAAAAACCCCGTTCACTAAAAGCCTTCAGGGAATCTTGAGGTGTAACTTGTAAGCCTTTAAAAGGTATTTCCTTGAGTATTTGTCCAGGTTTTTTTGTATTACTCTGTATATAGCTGGGTTGGTTTTTTATTTCTTTTAAAGAAAGCCTGATGATTGAATCCAAAAGAACGGAAATCTGATTTTGCACTTTTGTTGAAGCTCGCCCTCCAGCTGGGCTCCAAATAGTGCTCTGTGATATCAAACTTGCAATCTTGATAATGAAGGCTTTCCATGTTTCTATTTTTTATTTTCGTTATTATTTTCTAATGAGTTTATTTTTGGTATTATATACTTTGTCTTAACAAAGAATTTAATTTTAGAACCCCCTATTGTGCTCGTACACACAGAAAGATATTTCAGTCTTAAGGGGAAAGGTTGAGATCCTTTATTTCAAGTTCTGTTTTTTCTTGTCTTCCACACCCTTCAACCTATAAGCTTATATGTTGAGGTTGTGATATTTTGCTTCCGAGTACGTTCTCTTTTCTAGTTGAGCTTAGCCAGTTCCAAGTTAATTCTAACACTTTAAAAATAAATTTTTTTAACTTAGGAATTTACTAAAGGAAGCTGTGAGATTGAAGAATGTTATGGATCTCATTGCTCAGCTTGTGGATATATGCATTAAGGATTTTTGCATGCTTCTTAAACCAAAGGATATACTTGTAGCATGTTAGGCACCACAGGACAATGTTCCTGAGTTTGACCAAGTCCATGTGAAATGTTGAATAATTGATGTTATCCTTATGTAATTTAAAAATTAAGAAAGTGTATACAAAAAATGATGAATGGGATTTGGAAACTCTCTGAACGGATAAATGATGCTTATGAACAAAGAATGGTTAAAAGGGAAATTCTGTAAATGCAAATGTGGATACCTTTTCTTGAATAGGCCTGACTTTAGGATTGACTGCATAGTTATGGTGATGATGAACTTTGGTCACTAATATAAGAGCTTGGTATCATACCACAATGAGTAACTTGACCAGTACTCAGAACTGTAAGCTATGTGGGTGGGATTCGGTCCTAGTGGTCGAGTCTTGAATCACACCACAACAATAAGCTACAACGGGCGGGACTACTGTGTGAGTTGAAATCACACACCACAATGTGCTTGATGGAGATTGCGGATATCTGGGTGGTCTTGGGTCCATTCTGGAGATCAAATCTAGGCCAAGGGGTGATTCAGAAGTAAAATTCTGTTGAAAATAAAGTAGGTGGTTTAACTAGCGTCATTACCTGAGTAAAGCTCATTGGGGAAGTTTTATTGCGATTATTATTATTATTATCATTATTTAAGGAAATTTTACGAAGTTTGCAATACGTGAATCCTTGAACCATTACCATGACTCATTGACGAAGTCTGTATTAAAATAATTTTAAGATGCAAAATGATTTGTACTGAAAATTGTGATATATCTTGAACTTAAATTGATAGTATGGCTAGCATCTGAACTATGCGTGCACTGTATGTGTAAACTGAGTGTGTAGGTCTATTTGAATGATTGCACGCAAGTATAGGTTGAAGCGGAGTGGCCCAGAAGGATGAACGTGGAGAAGAGACTGTGTGATGGATCCTGATAGTTTGACACTACAACAACAATGCATTATCCCAGATTCCCAGTAGGCGGGATCAGCTATGTGGATCTACTTTGGGCTAGCTAAATGAGTTACTTTGGAACTAGACAATGTGGATGACGAGAAAGATGCTTAGCAGGTCATTTTTGCGTTAAAATCTGAACACTTTTTTTTGTCTGTTGGGTTTATTCTTCAGATATTAAAGAAGTTATGGATTGCTTTGATAGCTTGAGCTACCTTTTTTTCTTGTTGATACTATTTCTGCTGATATGACGAATTGAGTTCTCTTTTTTATAAAATAATATTCACTTTATACTCATCCACGAATGTTTGTCATATTGCTCTATTGAATACGAAAAAAATAATGTTCGCTTTATGCTCATCCTCGAATTTTTGACATATTATTCTATTGAGTACGTATTTTTTATTATGCTTTATACTCAATTTTTTATTATGCTTTATACTCATTTGTCGCACAAAGTATTTGTATAATATGAATAGTTGTTTATAACAAAGTATGATGTTTGAGATTTACTCAGTGTTGAATTAGTTATCTTTTTTTTAAAAAAATCATCTTAGAAATAAATTTAAAATATCAAATAAGTCAAATGACAATCATCTTTTTTAAGTGAATGAGTTTTTTTGTTAAATATTGAATACTCCTTATGTCTCAAGAAATTGTCCAATTTTAAATTTTTGGAATCAATCAAAATTAGCATTTGATTCATAATTGAGTAAAATTATACTTAATGGTATATAAATGTGATAAAATAATATTTAGAAATTTTAACAAGATGAATTGAATAATTGAATAAAAGTATACCTAACAATATATTAATGTATTAAACAACAATTTGAAATATTTTACAAGATGAATCACAAAAAAAAATATTTGTATTGATATGTAATATAAATTTTATTTAACTCATTGTGAAATTTATCAACTTTAATTGAAAAAAGTCTAAAATAAACGAACACTCTGAAACTAGATAATGTGGAGCAGTACATCCATCCAAAATTAGATTCCTAGTTACTCTTCACAAATGAACGATGTGGTTATTTGACCCACATGTTAAATACTTATTCCGTCGTATAAAAATGTTCTCGTTTTAATTATTAGGAAATATAATGGAGAGAAATTTTTGTGTTAACTTTTCAAAAATACTCTTGATGTGATAAGTAAAAATAAGATGTAATGCGTAAATTATTAATAAAATGGTATGGTGTGATAAATAAGGTAAATGTTAATAGGGGTAAAAGTAGATTTTTAGTAGATGCGACTCCAAAATAAAGAAAGGAAAATGAATCTATGGGACAGAGAACGTATAATTTTAAATAAATAAATACTACTATGTACAGAGATACGATATACATAGTACCAAAAAAATCTTAAAATGACTTAATTATAGTAAATTTATATTATAGCTAAACGTTTTTTTTCATAATTTATTATATAAGTAAAACCAAAAAGTCAAATTAGGACAATATTTTGGGAGGGAGACAGTATATAAAGCCCAACATAAGATCCATACTAAGCATACGACTACTATCATACGAGTACATATACATTGTTACTCCGTATCTTGTTAGTTTACTTTACACTTTTGTTTTACATTTATATATTAAAAAAATGCACGGTTAAGAACGATAGTCATTTAGTTTAATCAAATTGACTTATTTTTTTGGCACACCCTTAACATTTAAGTATTTAATAGTCATTTTTGGACCACCCTAAACCACCCTTTATATAGAGTTTTAAAAGACGTGAAATTATAAAGTTAAATTTTATACGAAAAAAGTTGATGCACGCCAACTAACTTTTTTCAAAATGGAAGAACTAATTAATAATTATAAACATCTAAAGAAATTTGGAAAATAAGAAAATGACAGAGGGAGTAAAAAAAATGCACTATTTATTCAACCCTTGACCATATGTGTAATTAATTAAACTGACTCATCAATATTGTTCCATTGATTTTTTTTTAATATTTTAATTTGTTCTATTGATTGAGTGGCTAATTAATTCCACGTGTAGTAATTCCCCAATTAAAAGTGCAAACACTCACCTAACTAAATAGAAATTGGAATCTATCTACTACTTTCTGGGTTAAATATAGAGCATCTATTTTCTGTGATTGTAGATCCATTTAAACCCTTTTAATAAAAATTAGAATCTGTTTACTATTTTTTAGGTTAAATATAGATCATCTATCTTACTACAAAGTTAACAAAAATGTTTGGTAAGATGACCTAGTAACTAAGTTTTGATTCCATTCATAATTTTAATTTTTAAGTTTAGTTTAGGAACCACGCTTTCAAATTAAATATATTTTTTGTTAACATTTTTCCTTTATGATTTGTTAAAATAATTTTGTTTTTACTTATTTTGTAAAATTTTTAATATAAGTTTTTTCATATACTCACATAATTTTTATTTTTTATTTTTATACCTATTTTTAATTGTATTGCTACCTATTTTTGCTTATATTAATTTGAGAATAACTTAAATGGGAACTAGTAATTTCGAAAGTACGAATTGACCCGTTTTTTAGCCCAATTTTACACGGACAAACTGAAATTGACGAGATCTCGATACCGCACAATTCTCACAGCACCGCCATTGTTCCACCTCGCAGATGGAGAAGGGAAAAGCAGTGATGGGTATGGGGCGCAGATGGGCCGTCGAGTTCACCGACTGTTCAGCCTCTTCTTCATCTCGCGACATCCCCGATCCTCCTGGTTTCGTTCGCGCCCCTCAAGATCAGGTCAATCTCCATTTCGATTCCGTCGATCTAATCTGCGTCGCTGTGTTTCTTTATTTCTTTGTTTATGATTTTCATCTGAATCAATTGTTTGTTTTGGGTTTTGGTTCCAGGACGATTCATCAGTGAGCCGCGAGAAGAAGAATGCCGAATCCAGTTGGAAAGCTCAGGTGGATTTTGATTTGCCTGCTCAAGCTTTTTACTCGTATTTGTTCGTTTCTTGTATTATCTGTGTTACTTGAGTTTTTATTATTAATGCCACTGTGTTTGCTACTGAATATCAACCTTAAAAGACACGGAATTGCTGAGGCGGTGATTTAGGTTAGAGTATTTAAGAAAACGGAGTAGAAATCATATCATAACTTCCAACTTTTTGCCTCTTGTTGATTGAATTTTTATATTCTTGGATAGTTGTGACTGCAATCATGAAGTGAGCAAGTGAAATTGTTGATCAATGGTTTGCTCTTTTATTGGCTTGGGGCGTGGATGGGGGATTGAGTTGTGTTCCAGCCTTTCTGGTTCTGGCCAGTGGCCACAGTGATAGATTCCTTCACCCCGCCCTTGTTCTGCCCTATAATTGTTTTACAAGGGACATGACAAATAACCAGTAAAATGAATCACACTTTTTTGCCAGTCAAACCAAAGACTATGGTGGGTGGGCAGTGTCCCATCCTAGGGTCCCCGAAAGGTTTGAGATATTTGCTCGTATCTGTTGTATAATGCAATGTTTATGTGGTGGGTGTTTCTGTTGACACTGTTCAATTACCACGATCAGCAGGATCAACAGTATTCTACGTACAAGCACTTAATGTGCACACACGCGCACACACACACACACACTCTCTCTCTCTCAATTGTCCTCATTGTTGTTCAATGTCTATGGATGTCTGTGAGAAGGTTGGGGTGAAAAGTGCAATGAGAATTGGGGAGACCTTTATCTTTTTTCTAAGCAGGTAGCTTTAAAAGATCTCCTGCTCTTAAGCTCCCTTGAAACATTTTTTTTATTGAATCCCACTACTTTTGTGGATGATTCTTGTATCTGCAGGACTGCAACAAAGCAAACCAATGAATGAAAACTTCAATGGTTTACTAGCAGTTCATGAAGGAATTTTGAGCTTCTGGTTAAGCTTAGTGAACTTCATATTATAAGTATTTGTGCTGGATTATATTTCTAGTACCATATTAGACCCGTTTATATACTTATATAGTTATATATATATTCTACAATGATATTGGTTTAGAAACCTTGATTGTAATTGAAACAGAAAGCATGGGAAGTGGCACAAGCTCCGTTCAAGAATTTGATGATGATGGGTTTTATGATGTGGATGGCTGGAACTACAGTCCACCTATTTAGCATAGGGATCACATTTTCAGCCCTTTGGCAACCCATAAGTGCTCTACAAGGTGTTGGGAAAGGTCAGGTTCTTTCCTTATTTTTCTGTAATCTTAAAGCCTTTACTATTTTCTATACTTGTCCTTATTATGTTTTATGTTATAGACAAATAGTCGTCATTCAAAAATGAGATTTTATTGATATTTGGGTACACACAGATGTGAATTTTTTTAAAACCCGAGGCATCTCTTTTTTTAATTCATTTTACCTTGCAATTCCACATTTTCTGTTCATTGTTCAGTTAATGGCATGACATATATTGCTATTACTATTTTGTGTAGTTTTTGAACCTTACAAGGATAGTAAAGTGGATCTTCTCGGGCCAAAATTACTGTTCATTGCTTTAAATTTGGCTGGTTTAGGATTGGGCATCTGGAAGGTAGATGTTCTATCCAGAGTTTTGGCTTTGAACTTGCCAGTTGTAGTCATCATAACTAAATAAGCTGTGTTTTCTTGCACAGCTGAATACATTGGGTCTTCTTCCAACTCATCCATCGGATTGGGTGTCGTCTTTGCCACCTCCTCAGGTTTGTCTCTTGCATTAACAATTTAACATGTCTTTGAGTTTGTGTATCAGAGTAGGGATGTACGTGCGTTTGTTTTCTTCCGTAAAAGAATACTTTGACTGGGAGTGTGATATTGTTGTTTGTCATGACTTCCAAAAAAATGAAATGTCAAACTAAAACATGAGGCTACTGGTGCCTATAGTTTCATATAACCTTAACTCCATCTTCAATGTAGAACCTAGCAAGCTACCCATAGCAAGAGCATATAGGGTTTTACTGCTCTCGAAGTGTTATCTAGCAGACTAACAGTGGACTCATAATAAGTAGCAATTGCTCTCTTAGGCATTGCTTGGTGTTTCATTTTGTTATCTTTTCTTAAAAAGTAACAAGAAAATGTGTTTGACAGTATCATTTTTGTTTTGTGTTTCTAAAATAAATAAGAAATGTTTTCTTTTAAATTATTGGAAGCATGAATCTCTCATTTGCGTTGTTTCCAGTATAAGTTTCCCACCTCAACACATTTCGTAAAACATTTAGATTTTTTTATTTATAAAAATCATTTATTTTTATATCGATCACATATACTATGGGTAGCTTGCTAGTGGAACAACTAAAATATAGCAGTGCTGTTCACTGACACTGTTTATGAACAACTTTAAAGACTAAATTTTGAATTATTATGGTGTCCTAGCTTTAGTTTGTTTTCTCTTTAGTTATGAAAATCAATTTCCTTTACTTTTGAGATAATTTCATATTTGGTCCCTTAGTTACATTTTGTTTTTAGTGTGATCCATATATTTTAAGTCATTCAAATCCAATTTCAACTATATATCGAGCTACTAGTCTAGGCCGTCTTGCTCTCAAATTTCTTACGATTGCAGTTTCTTGAAGGTAGTTTAGAGTAGGGATGACAATGGATCAGGTAGTTCACGAATCAATTATCCAAACCCGTCTAGCTCTACCAGCGGGTTCCAAAACCTCCATTAGTTTATTTGTTCAATAAGAAAAATATATCACTTGGTCATATTATTTGTACTTTCTAGGTGATACATGTCCCGTCGGGAATTGCCAACGTTTAGTGCAATTCTGGCAATCCTCCCAGGGCAGAGGGAGTAATTTATTTGTTGCTGTTACTCATACCAGTACTTCCAAAGTGTTAATGGTTACACAGCTCAATACGCAATGCCACTTTATGCACGTTCTCTCTCTCTCTCTCTCACACACACACACACACAGGTGGAACGGTTATCAGTTATCACTCAATAATTCAAACGTGAGATGGGTATCTACTTTTAATGCCTCTCGGGTAGGGTTGCATGCATTTTCACCTCCAGACCCCAAGAAAGTTGGGATTAGATTGAGTTTATAGTTTTATTTATTTATTTTTAAAATTGATATGATTCAGTTTTTAAAAAATAAGAGTAGAAAGATAATTTATTGTGACAGATTAGGAAAGAGAGAGGAATATACAATTAATTAAAGAGACAATGTTTTGAGACCATATTGCATTTTTAGTTCTCTCAAACAGAGTTGCAAAGTGTTCTATTACATTTGGCGTATATATATAACATCTTTGGCCTTGTGCAGGAGGTGGAGTATTCTGGTGGGGGTATAGGCTTACACTAAAGACCTTGTCTAGATTGTAATCGTGAGGAAGAAAGAGTGTTTTCGTCTTCGACAGCTTGTAATTTTTTTTTCTGAATTTAATTTTGGGTTATATATTTGTGCAACTCTTTTGAACTGAAGGACTGTAATCTTATGATCATATATGATCTTGGCTAAGTTGAGGATTAGTGTTCCACTCAGCTGGGAAATCTTCAGACCCTTTTTTTATGAATCAATGAGAAAATTGTGCCATGAAACAAGTGGGACGGAGGGAGTATATACGTACATAACGTTAATTTTGCGATCAGAGTAGGGACGTCAATTGAGTTGGTGTCACAATCTTACACCAAATTTACGGTGTAAGATTACTGTTACGGACTGATGCCATCTACCCCGGTGAAATTTGGGGGGGGGGGGGGTGAGGGCCTTATTAGCTCGAGGTGATGAGGGCCTTGTCGCTATCCCTCCACCCACTTGCTTAGCCCATTCTTAATGAGTTGAATATGCTGCTAATGGATTAGGGTGCATAATCTCGATCAATCATGTGAAATTTGCACTAAATAATGTCTTTTTCCAATGTAATGCTTAAACTTTTTATACCTTCAATAGTAGAACAATATCTAGTGTCGCTAACAATGTCTAGTGACGGTGGATACTTATTTTGGATAATGTTTAGTGGCGATGGATATTTACTAGAATGATTTCCAGCGAATCTTGAACAGTGGTACTATATTGAGTAATTAAATCATATGGTACTATATTGTAAAACTCACAGGAAAATTCTCTATCGATCATTACTTGTTTAATTTTTATATATATCACCGTGTTATGTTCTCATCACCTATATCTATTAGGATTGTGGCCAACATATACTCCATTTTATTTTACATTAATCTTTTGATCAAAACAATGTGAGCCTTTTTCGAACCGTTCGCGAAATTGCGGATCGCAAATGAAATTAGATGAATGTTCGGTTTCAGTTTGGTTTTAAATGTGAAAATTATTTTGGGCTTCTTGGTTTTTTGGTTGGTTTTCAGCTTTTGATAAGAAAAAACCGAGACGACTAGATAATTGATTTTAATTATTTATTTTATATTACTCCCTTTGTCTCAATTCATAGACCCTCTTTCGGCTTATGAATTACGGAGTATAACATGTGACTAAAGTTTTGTTGTTCTTAAGTCATAGTGTTGGTTGAGTTTTTATGATGTATTTGTTTTCAAATTCAAAGTTAAATTGTCTTTAGTTTCTTTTTAGAAATCTACATGCGTTATAAAACATAATTTTGAAAAAACAAACGTATAAAATGGAACGTATCTGTATATATAAAATGTATAATAGGACATATTTTAAAGAGTAAATTCCATAAAAGGTTCCCAGTTATAGGTCGTTTTACATATTTAGTCCATACATATCAAATATTACTAATTTAGTCCCCAATTATTATATCATTTTTGACGAATGATCCTTTGTTAACGTTTTTGTTAAGAACATGGATAAAATTGTATATTCATACTTCTCTATCTCCTCAATTAAGCTCCCTCCCTCCTCTCGTATTCTTCCCAAACTCGTCGCTGAGTTTGAAGATCTAAATCCAAAACTGAAATGGTCATTCCTCTCTCAATTATTAGTCTTATTGGTGGAACCTAAAATCAAAACCAATAAGCTTTATGGATGAGTTTTATCGATTAGTCTCAAGAAATTGCAAAAAAATAAACATTAAAACTCATCCATGAAGGTTACTGGTTTCGAATTTGGGTTCCACCAGTTAGACAAACAATTGAGAGAAGAGTGATGATTTTGGTTTTGAGTTCAAAACTTCAAACTTAGCGACGGATTTGGGAAAGGAGTGCGAGGGGAGGGAGGAAGCTTAATTGAGGAGAGAAAGGAGTGTGAATTTATAATTTTATCCACGTTCTTAACGGAAATGTTAACAAAGAATTATTCGTGGAAATGAATATAATAATTGGGGACTAAATTAGTAATATTTGATATGTAGAGACTAAATATGTAAAACAATATATAACTGGGGACCTTTTATGGAATTTACTCTATTTTAAAAATGTGAACCGTATTATACACAAACATTTAAATAAACATATTACACCCGTATCCAAAGAATGATTGAAAAGATGAAAAGTTGAGTTAATTAAAAAGGAGAGAGGACGGCCGTTATAAAACGTAGAACATTTGTTTCGGGACAGAGGGAGTTTATTAAAGTCTTGAATTCAGAGAAGTCAAATAAAATAATGGTGAAGAGAAGGGCTCCCAAGCGGGAGACAATTACTAGTAGGCAAATTTTTACGTTGACCTTATTTTTATACTCCCTCCGCCCCCTAAAATGTTCTCATTTTGACTTTTGGTGGTTTTTAAGGAGAGTTGAAAAAAAGATGAAAGTTTACCATAATATCCTTAATGAAAAATGGGTGGAGTGTATTAAATGAGGTGGGTGAGGTGTAATAAATAAAGTAAGTGGGGGTAGTTGTGGTATTTTAATTGTTAAAAAATGAAATGAGAAGATCTATTGTGGACAAAGAAAAAGGGCTATTGAGAATATCTATGGGGGACGGAGGGAGTAGTATCCATGGTGGACATTCATATGTCAGTTAGGTTCAATGGCCACTCAAAATGAGTGGTCTCGGAAGACACCGACTCAATTGAGATACTAAACCTTCCTCTTTCGTTGAGATAAATGTTTATTTAAATACAAAAAGTAAAAATATTACTTCCTCCGTTCCATTAAACCCTTCCTCTTTCGTTTTTTTGCTTTCCACAAAACACTTCCACTTTCTATTAAAAAACCACTTTTACCCCTACTTTTTCATACCCTACCTATAACATCATACTTTTTCACTAATAACCAAACTATCACATCTTACTTTTTCCCATCACATCAGGGGCAAAATTGGAAAGTCAACCCAAATTAGACTTTTCTTATTTTTCTCCAAAGTCAAAACCGGAAGAGTTTTGTGCAACGGAAGGAGTATATGAGAAGGTAGATGTGAACAATAGCGGTCAATCATAGAACGTTCCTTATATTTTTTTACGGCAAAGAAAACTATTTATTAGAACGTTCGTTACAATTAATTATTCCCTCCGTCATAAAATTAACTTCTCATTTGACTTTTCACGGTCTCCAATGCGACAATTTGACCATCAATATCTCAATTTTTATATAAATATATTTTATAAAAATTATATATTTCAAAACTATGTTTCAAAACGAATTGCTAATAAATTTATATGAAAATTCAATGTATTTTTTTCATAATATACGGTCAAAGTTTTAAAAGTTTGATTACAAAAGTCAAACTGGGAAGTTAATTTTAGGAGGGAGGGAGTAGTAGGTAAGGTATATATATCACAACAAGAATCTTCATTTCGTGTTTATCCAAATTAAAGCCCCGCGTGACCGATCACATTTTTCGATTTTATTCTATTCGCCACCTTCTTCTGTCGATCCCCCCATGCAAAACAAATTATTCCTCCCTTTCCAATTTGTTTTTTCATTACTTACCAAAAACATTTTCACTTTTCAATTTTTAAAAATCAATTTCGCTTTGAAAAGAAAAAAAAAGAGGAAATGTATGATCCCTAATACGGAGTATTATTATTTCTTCTACATGTAAATTTTCATTATTTCACATTTTTATTTTTCTAATACTCCTTATACAAATGTAAATGGAAATTTTAATTATATATATATATTCTCCATCCAAAAATTATAATTTATTTCATTATTCACATTAATAAATATTATTCACGTACTTTATTGGTCGAATTTCGTTGCCCATTTTATAAAGTAATACAGTCATGTAACCAGTAACCTCTAGTTTTGTACATTTTTTGATATAGTATTTAGATATTTACTCCATCCGCTCTCAAACTTTAATCACATTCTTTACCTATTTTCGTTAATTATTTGATAAAATAATATAGTCATGTCACATCTTGTTTTGTAGAACTTTAGATGTAGTTCCTAAATATATACTCCGGGTACTTTTTTTTAATTTAACACCTATAATCAAATAAATTGAATTGAAAATCAATTCAGTCAAACGTTGTAAATCGAATTGAGAAGAAATTAAGTTTCAGGACAAAAGGAGTAATTTTTAATTATTTTTATTTTTTTAATTCCACATCATTTTTCATATTAAATAATTTGAAAATAACATCAGCCAAATATTTTTTTTAATTTAACAGCTATAATCAAATAAATTGAATTGAAAAAAATTCAGTCAAACATTGTAAATCGAATTGAGAAGAAATTAAGTTTCAAGACAAAGGGAGTAATTTTTATTTTTATTTTTTTAATTCCACATCATTTTTCATATAAAATAATTTGAAAATAATATCACACGTAACATAACATGAAGGTATATATTTTAGGAGGAAAGGAGTATATAAACACCTAGATTGAAGGTAACAACCTTTGCCTGACTCCTCATTAAAAAACAAAACCAATAATGGATTATTCATCAGCCCGCATAAAGAACAAGCGCAGGGGAAGAGGGTTTCTTAGGGGGCTGTTGAATCCAGTCCGCAGTTGCAGCGGCCGCAGCCCGAGTCCGGCCGCCGCCGAGGAACGCGGCGCCGCACCGCCGCCGGCGAGGAAGGTCGATATCCGCAACGGCAATAACAATCTGGCGGCCGTGAAGAGAGAAAAAGTTGCCGATGGTGATCATGACGACGCCGCCGCCGCCCTTCCCGGTGGCGGTGTTGATGATGACCACGACGAGGAAGTCGATCGTAGAGCCGAGAAATTAATCGCTTCTTTCCGCGAGAAGATTATTAGGGCTCCATCTTCTTCTAAGTAACTGAGCCGATCCATGCATGCATGCATGTATTTGCACAATAATACTTAGTTCTATATATATTTTATTTAGTACTCTCCCCCTTACCCAATAATGTTCTTCAATTTTTTTCTGCTCTGCATCACATAATTTTACTTTCTTAATCTACGAGCCCTAACAAATAAAACAATGGTGGAACATTAATTCGGGACAGAGGAAGTACAATAACCTTTTATGTTTTAGGCCTCACTTTGACAACAATTTTTTAATATATATATATATATATATATATATATATATATATATATATATATATAGTGTTTTGAATTATTAAAATCGTGTGAGAAAATTGATAAATATTGACGATTAATTCAATAAATTTCATACTCTCTCCGGCCTTAAAAACCTTCATGTTTTGATTTTTTTGATCAAACAGTGACACTCTTTGACCATAAATTAAACATAGGAGAATATGTTTTTACCTAAATAGGACTAAAACATAATGTAGGAGCATATGTTTTTATTTTCCAATGTAGGACCATTGGTCATTATCCATTAGTCATTATTCAAGTAAATGTCCACCATCAGTGGATATTATTCCTCCCACTAGACATTATTAAGTACTATTTGGGGAATAAAAACGTTTAAGTCCTACATTGAAAAATGACTTATGTTTTAGTCCTATTTAGTATAAATTTCACTTAAACATGATTTAAATAAATAAATGATATAAAAAGTTGATGTATCAAAACTATATCCTGAAATGAATCCAATTATATTGAATTTATATTATAATTAGATATACTTTTCTCTCAATATATGGTCAAAGAGTGTCATTGTTTGACCAAAAAAAGATCAAAACAAGAAAGGTTTTTAAGATTGAAGGGAGTATTGGATATTGATAGTCTGATAAAAGAGAAATTTTATTATGTTTATCTTAGCTTGTAAAAGATCTTCAAGCTATTGTTTTATCTAAATAATATAACATGTACTCCATCCGTTCTCAAAAACACTTCCTCTTTCATTTTTTTCATTTCCAACAAAACACTTCCACTTTCTATTAAAAAACCACTTTTACTCTTATTTTTTCATACTTTCTCTAATAATCTATCTGTCACATCTTACTTTTATCCATCACATCAAGGGCAAAATTGGAAGTCAACTATAATTTAACACTTCCTTATTTTGGCTCCAAGTCAAACTAGGAAGCTTTTATTAGAACGGGGGAGTAATTTTTATTTATTATAGGTTAAAAATGGCAATTGATATACGCGCTCCACTTCTGTTAGTGGCGCTCCACCCTCCTAATATCTTTTCTATGTTTCTCATCTTGCCCTTTTATTAACAATTAGTCAGCCACCCGGCCTTCACCCATCAAAAGTGGCTATCCATATTCCATACGACCATACCTATTCCAATTTGCACCCATTTCAATTATTCATCTGCACACAACTCATTCGATCTTTCTACTTGAGGAAGCAGACACATCCTAAATTCGTAGTTCAGGTTCATTTACTTTTCAATTATTGTTATCTTTATCTCTATTGCTTCTTTGAGAATCGAAAAAGAGAGGTGAGCTAGGGTTTTGCAGGCCTATTCTTTCATCAATCTTTACGATGTAATTTTCGGTCATTTTCTTATATTTTTTTATACTTATAAGGTATCTTAAAAGATGGATGTTCAATTTGAGTTGGATGATCACTCCGAGTTGGAGAACATACTAAACCTCGTGAAAAAGAAGAGCGTAGAAGAAATATGTAAGAATTCATGGAAGGGGGTAAGTCTCGACTGTAAGTTATTAATTTTGATTTTATTAAATTTATTTGGTAGTAGTGAATTTTACTTGGGAGAGAGCTGGGATGTTTTATTAAATTCAATGCATTTTTGAAGTTATGGTTTGTAAATTGAACTTTGGATGTTTTAAGTGAAAGCAGTTTTCAATAAGAGTTAATTTTTTTCAGGTGACACATCATATCCCATGAAATAGTGAAAGAAGATCAGAACAATGGATCAAGTGATATTCTGGGTTCATGCACTACACAATTTCAAAGCCATGTTGACCTTCAAAATTATGTCCAAAGAGTTGCTTTAGAGCAAGGATTTGTGGTGATTATAAGAAAATCTAAACCAAAGTATTATGTGATTCTGGGTTTTGATAGAGGTGGAACACATCGTTCAACAGTTTTTGCCAATGAAAGAAAAAGATTTACTAGTAGTCGTCTCATAAGTTGCCCGTTTGAGGTATGGGGAAAGAGAAAAGGATTTGTTTGGGTGCTAGAGATTAAGAACTTATCACATAATCATGAGCCTTCAGAGGATATGTCTGGACATCCTATGTGTCGTAGATTTTCAATCGATGAGATGCAAATTGTGAAAACATTGTCTATGGCTGGTTCAACACCCCGGGAAATTATGTCTGCACTTCGTAAAAGCAATCCGAATCTTCAAGCAAATTCAAGATCTTTATATAATGCAAGAGCTAAGATAAAAGAAGAAGATTTAGGGGGCGTACCATGATTGAGGCATTGTTTGAAGAGTTAGGTGATGGTGGATTCATTTTGGACATTAAGCGTGATGAATATGACGTTTAACACATCTATTTTTCATACACCCTAGGTTAGTAGTATTGATAAAGAATTTTCCTTATGTGTTTATCATGGACTGCACATACAAGACAAACAAATACAATATGCCCCTTCTTGATGTTACTGGGGTATCAAGTTTTAATACATCATTCTACTCTTGCATTGTGTTCATGCAGAAAGAGGAAGAAGAAGATTACATTTGGGCTCTTGAAAGATTTAAAAAGATTTTGGGTATTGAGAATTTTCCCATGGTTATTGTTACGGATAGGGAGTTAGCATTAATGAATGCCATCCAAGTAGTCTTTCCACAATTCACACATCTTCTTTGTGTATGACATATACATAAGAATGTGCTTGCTAAATGTAAGAAATTTTTTGAGAAAGGTGATGAGTTTGATGATTTTTTGTCAAGTTGGAGTGATGTGATATATTCTACTGATGAAGCAAGCTTCAATGTCAAATGGGGTTCATTAGAAAAGCAACACAAAGACAAGCCATTGGCGATTGATTATATCAGAAACACTGGCTTCCATACAAAGAAAGGTTTGTGTATGCATGGACAGAAAGACATTCCCATTTTAAAAATCATGCAAGCTCAAAAGCAGAGGGTGCTCATTCAACAGTCAAAAAGTATCTTCAAGTATCAATAGGTAAATTTTGAGAGGTGAAAGAAAAAATCTATCTTGCTATTGAAAATCAAGTCAAAGAAATCAAGGAAAAACTTCTATGTGAAAGAATTCGCACTTCACACGGTTTTCGTGTTCCTTTGTTTTGTGGGCTTCTTGAAAATACTCGAACAACTTTTAAATCAATATAAATTGGCCTCATCTAAAAGAGTATTGGATGAGTGCCGAGGACATTTCCAAAATACCATGGGACTCCCTTGTGCACATAAACTAAAGTGAAATCTAAATGGAAGAATAGATCTTGATGAGATACATCCACAATGGAGAATTGATGAGAGATCTTTTGACAATGACACTTGCTACCATGATGATCAATTTGTTGATTTTTTTAATCAATTGAAAAAGAAATATGAAAAGGGTGTTGTTTATAAATGTTGAATGTGAATATGAGTGTTGAATATTGAATGTTGAATATTGAATATTGATTATTGATTATTGAATTTCTGAACTGAACATTATGTGCACGATATCAAATGATTTGATTATGAATTGAGATTTAATTTATATGGATGTTTGATGCATTAGATATCCTTGCTCAGCTTCAACGCTGAGCATGTAGTATATTTTATTTGCTACACACAGGTAAATAGAAAGAATGATGTGACATGATCCTGGCGGTAGACGGAGGCGAGATTGTCGGGATGGATGTGATTGTTTTGAATTAAAGAACATAAATTAATTATGTTTTGTAATTTGTTAAGCTTCCGCAACATTGAAAACTCGGTATTTTTACTGTTATGAATATTATTCTTATGATGAATAAAATGTTTGGAAATGTCTTAAATTTTTACTATTACCAACTTAATACTATAGTCCGAAAGGGGCTATTGACCTAGATGGATCAAGGTGTTACAAAACTTATTTAGATCAAGAACACACTCAAATCCTCAAGAAATGGCTTTAAAAAGCTATGTAAAAAGTTTATGGAATGGTGAAAGTAAAGTTATGAAATGTGTGAAAAATGGTTGTAACAAGTAGATCCAAGAGGCCGCTTTTTATACCCAAAAACAAGGTGCAATGGTTAAGAGAAGATTGGGTTTGTTTGGCTTGATTTCTGGAAATCAAAGGAAAAGTGGATCTATTGAAATCTGGCCCAACATCGATGTTCATATAGTGAATATCGCTGCTTTGGCTTTGACTTTCCTTTGGAAATGACTAACGGTCATGAGAATATTGATGTTTTGAAGGCTACATCGATGTTGGGGTTTTTGGCTATAAAAATGGGAAGATTTTGTCTTAAATAGCTCAGCGGTCATTTGAAAACATCAATGTTCACTGATGAGCATCGTTCTTCAAAAACCTACTACCAAAAATTAACGTGAGCCAACCTGGCCAAAACATGGATGTTCAGAGTCCAATATCGCTATTTTGAAACTTAGTACCATGGCCAAAACATCGATGTTCAAAGTCAAACATCACTGTTGAGTCTAGATGCCAGAACCATGGTTTGGCAGCCAATGCCGAAAATTGATGTTAAGAATCAAAGTTTCCTAAATTAAAAGCCCAATGTTGGAAACACTTATTTAATGTATTTTAGGTGGAAACCAAGTATAAAAACTTAAAAACCATGTTGTTTAGGTGAAAACCACGGATGACCAAGTTAAAAGCAGTATTCATGGTGTTTGAGAAAAGTCCAAAAATGAAAGGTGGGTTTTAGAATGTTTTTGTTGGAACACCATTTAGATATGCACAGAAGTACAAACCAATCACAAATCTTTAAAACCACTTGGTTGATTTAGACGCCAAAACCGATGCCGAAAACCAGTGTCGAAAGTCGATAACCCACGCTGAAAATCAAAGGTTATGGTTTTTGAAAACTAGTCATTGGGAAAACCTTTAAATGGGTCCAGAAGAAAAAAAGATAAAACTCAAAAACCATTTTCCTAAAGTACTTCGTATATCACAAAATGAGAAAGTGCTAGTTTTTTTGAACATTAATAACTCTAGAGTGCTTCTATGGTGCACCTTGGGTGCATACCAATTTTGTGCACCTTCTCACATAAAAAAGTTTTGTTTAAGTTTTTAATTTTTAATTAAAATAAATGCTCATTTAGGTAGTTAGGATTTGTTTATTTCTCTTATATGTAGGTTCATGGTGGACCTTAAGTCCACCATAGAATTTGCCATAATTCTATTACAATGTAGTTTCTGTTCATACATTCTCGGTCTAATAAAGCTTGTAGAGTTACTGTTCACATTGAGGGTCGAACACGTGACCTCTTATCTCGGTGCTATTGGACTACAAGGTGCTTGACAGAAAGAGTTAGTTTATGAAGTTGGGTTAATATATACAGGGATTTGATATGCTATTAAATACGAAGTATTGCTTATTAAAGGGGCATGTAGAGCATCAATCGAGAGTTCGAGACACAAAAGGAGTTCATATTACAAAGTACAAAAAAGTCTACCCTCGTGATTATTAGACCTGGCGAAACAGACTCGGACCCGATAATCTGAACCAAATAATTCGGAACTAATTCCGAAATGACCCGAAAATTGAAGAACCAAATTAAACACAAACACCTAAAATGAACCGAACCGAATGTATTCAGACCTGATTTAGATCTAAATCCGATTAAATCTGAACCGATTAAACCCGACACGATTAAACTCGGAACTGATTAAACCCGAAACTGATTAGACCCGACACCGATTAGACACAAGACCGATTAGACCCGATATTGATCAAGTTCAAAACAAATTAAACTGAAATCCAGTCAAATCTAATAGATCAGTGGTTGATGTCTTTCTAAGAATAACATATTTGAATTATACGTACAAGTGATTTTATGTACAAATCTTTCACTCTATATTTTATCACTTAAACTAAGATTATCGTCTATTTTTATACTGAATTTATATAATTTATAGTGACATCGTAACATACATTGATGGATATATTGGCTCATTATTGCGGACACTTGAGGGGAGGCGACACACAAGGCTAACATTAATGTTCTGAAAACTGGACCGGCCGTCGATTCGGACGAGGGTTTGGGTCAAGGGCTAACCGGTCAACCCGGAAGTCAACAAACTGGTCAAATATAATTAATATACTAATTTTTTATATTATATTATTATATATTTTTAATGAATAAAAGTATTTTAGTTTGTATTTTTTGAATTCTCCATCTAAATTTTAGTATCATTGTGAATATAAAATTAATAGTTTCTATTTTTATTAAAAGTTCCGAGTGAATGTATAATAAATACTTAAATAGTAAAAACAATACTCATATTTTCAAAATTAAATAAAAACAAGATAATGTGTTCTTCGATATTATATTATTGACATTATAAAGTTTATATTGGTCTTGTTTGGTAATTGGCTTTTCAGCCCATATTTGGATGTTTGACCATATATGGAAGTTTTGACTAGTCAAAACAGCCAAAAGTAATGTTTGGAACGTGGCTTTTAAGATTGGCTTTTGGATCCAAACTGCCGAAAATTGAAAAGCTAATCACTACAACATTTTCATTGGCATCTTGGAGTAATTTATTTATTTCCCCTTTCGTACATCCATACTCCGTATGTTATGACTGAAGAGATTGAAAATACCGTATACTTTTTTTAGTGGAGTTCCACACATATTTAACAAAAAAGAATTATTCATATTATTTTTCATGTTGGACAAAGCAAAAAAAACTACACCAATAAATGTAATTCCCAAAATTTTCAACTGCGCAATCCAGTTTCAAGCACGTTATTTGTTTATATAATTTGATATTTTTATCAAACTTTAAAAAATTAAACTCATTACAATAACAAATTAATTTTTATATATATGGAGGGATGTCTAAAAATATAATTTTCACTACCAACAGCTGTTTATGGGTAGCTGAATTTACCAAACAAGTTTTCT